AGACTCATATTGCACTCTGGTTTCAGTTGTATCAGGGTTTTGGGAAGCAGATATTTGCTGACTGGTGGTCAGTGTGTGTCCTGAGCTTCCGGTGGTCATGACTCCTGCCAGGAGTACATGGCTTTCTGACAATGGGTGGGTGCAACATGGTCTGACCAGGAGTTAAAGCAATAGTGCATAATACTGTAGGGGGACTTCATACAGGATGTCCTTGACAAAACTGGAACTGGAACGATTCTGAACGTTGGTTAGATGTTGTGTGGGTGCTGGGGGAGCTGGCAGCCCCGTCACGTGTGGGTGCTGAAGGGGGTTGAAGTGCTGGGGCTGACGCTGCCGCCCTCCTGTGCGCCAGGGGCACCACCGCGGTGGACGGCGCGGGGTTCGGCGTGGACCGGCCCGCGGAGCTGAGCAAGCACGACGACGAGTACGACGCCTTCCGGAAGAGGATGATGCTGGCCTACCGCTTCAGACCCAACCCGCTGGTAAAGATCTTTATGCTCCAGGGCTGTTCTTTACACTAAGGGTGGTGGAGGTCTGTAACGAGCAGCCCGACGTCTGTTGTTGAAGCTGAATACCCTGCTCCCCTTAAGAAAAGGCCGAAGGCGATCATCTGATCAGTGAGCCACTCATCTCCTTAGTAAACAGGCAAATGGTTTCACCTTGTTTGTGATTTTACTTCTTTTCTGCAGTTCTAGAACAGTATTGTCCTGCCTCAGCGGGCACCGGTGATCTGTCTCACAAGCAAACGCGGGACACGGTGTTAAAACACGCTCGGGCAGACTTTAACAGTGGCCGTCTAATAAGTTTATAATTTCATTCATTGTTTCATTATTGGTTCCATTTCCTTTAAATACTTCCCTCACCCTTCACTCAGGGCTCTGTCATTGGCTAAGCTGCTGTGGTTTACTCTCACTTTATTTCGCCAGTGATGATCTCTCTCTCTCTTTTTTTTGTGCCTGCTTTGTTTTTTCAGCGATTTCCTCCCTTCCTACCCACCCCTGCTTTCCTGCCCCGAGTGCTGGGTTTTATGTGGTGTGCCTCTGTCTGATTTTTTCATGCCACCTGTTAGCTGAGATGCTCTCCACCTCAGCGTCGCCCGAGACCGGCTTGTGATCTCTCTGCTGTTGTCCAGCTCACCGCCTCCTTACAAGTATACAGCCCTGGTGTCGGGCTACATCTGGGCTTCAGTTCGTGCAGGAAGCCTTGTCTGTACGGTGGCTCTGTTGGCTCTGTGTGGCAGAGTTAGAAGTGGAAGAGTATTGTGACTGTAGTGATGACACCACTGTCCGCGTTCAGGCTCCAGTAACGCTAAATGCAGAAACAGAGAAGAAGCGATGCAGGAAACAGGAGGGGTGAAATACTGAGTCGGTAAACAGACAAGCTGGGGGTGGCAGACAGAATTTACAAAAAGGAAAATGCAGTCTTAGTTTCCAGACAAAACAAGCTACCCTTCGGTCTCTGCTGGATATTGTCTTGATGGGTGAAGGAGAGAAGTTAATGGGTTTTCTTTTTTTTTTCTCTCAGAACAATCCAAGGAGACCGTACTACTGAAGAAGGCACAGCCAATACAATACTAAATGAATAAAAGAAATCTGATCCCATCATTCTTTGCCATGTGCAGTAAACTCCAGTCCACTCAAGACCGCTGGAAGCCTGGTATCCTGGGAAGTGCAATGCGGTCCCGGGACCGAATATTTCAGGCTGTCTTTGTTGTGGAAACAGATACTCGATTTGTGGTCATCCTGTGTGATGAAGGGACACGATCTCTCTGCCACTAACACAGAAACAGGAACGGTTGAGCTGTTTCGGGTACTACAAAGAGCTGTGGTTTTTAATTACTGAGCGTATGGAGAAGATGATTGTTTGTTTTTTTTTTCCCCCAGAACTGTTCATTGGCGACGGCTGCTGCTACTACATTCTGGATGTATTTTATACTGCAGACTTTGCTTTTGCTTCGGGTGTTTTGTACTGTGACATTCTGGATGTTAAGTGTGTGCACACATCGGCACGACTGCTTCTCAAAAAGGCAGTTATGTAACAAACAAATCACTTTTGATCTGTCAAGTGTGGGATTTGGCTTGTCTGTATTGTGTGTAAATTGTTTGCAGTATTCAGATATTCCTTCCTGTCGAGAAGCCAAAACAGTCGCATTGAATGTGAAACGTAGGGAGTTGCATACAACGCCAGTCTTTATCCTGATATTAATGGTTCATTCCTGCTGTCCCAAATACAGAACGCTTGCCTCTTGCCCCCCAGGCTGTTAGTTTTTATTGCACTGTAGATATAAAAGCGTCAATGCATGTCATTGCGTCAACAATAAATTTTTCCAAGTGTCTCTTAATATTCCTTCTGAGGTCTGGCTTCCCTGTTGTATGACAAACATGCAGTCGCTTCTCTTGCAGGGCAGCACAAAGGGGAATTATTCGTGCTCTCCTGTTTCTGATTTTATTATACAGGACCCCCAACCCTTGTCGTCACTGGGGAAGTAGCTCCAACACAAGGCCAAGGGGCTGCAAGCCTAAAGCTGGATTTTTCAGGAAAAATTCAAAACCTTAGGGTTGTTTTGACTGTGATTCGTTTTGCTGGCTTTTACTTATTTTGCCTGCTGAGCAGTGGAACAGGGGGGCTGTGTCTGCTGTGCAGCTTGCATCCAAATGTCTAACGCAGCCTCCGTATCACCCTGAAGCTCACAGCTGGCAGCCCCACTGGAACTCAGCAGGTCTGAGCCTGCCCAGTACCTGGATGGGAGACTCCTGGGAAAGCTAAGGTTGCTGCTGGAAGAGGTGTTAGTGGGGCCAGCAGGGGGCGCTCACCCTGCAGTCTGTGTGGGTCCTAATGCCCCAGTATAGTGACGGGGACAAGGCGCCGTTCTTCTGATGAGATGTAAACCCGAGGCCTGACCCTCTGTGGTCATTAAAAATCCCAGGGTGTTTCTCAAAGAGTAGAGGTGTTACCCCAGTGTCCTGGCCAAATTTCCCCCTGGCCTTTACCCATCATGGCCTCCTAATAATCCCCATCTCTGAACTGGCTTCATCACTCTGCTCTCCTCCCCACTGAGAGCTGGTGTGTGGGGAGCGGACTGGTGCATCATCCAGGTGGGGGTACACACTGGTGGGGGTGGAGGGGATCCCCATGACCTGTACAGCTCTTTGAATGGAGTGTCCTCAAAAGCGCTATAGAAGTCTGAGCAATTAATTATTGTTTAAGGTGCACAGGTCTGTCAAGGCCTCTTGTCTTGTAGATGATGACCAGCGCTGGGCAAAATCCTGCAAGGAAAACGTTTCAGTGGACTGAAACAGTAGAGAGAGAGAGGGCCCCGCTGCCTCATCAAGTAAATCCCAATGACAGCATTGATTTTTTTACTATTTTTACTGGACCCATGGACTGTGCCCCGGTAGGTGCCAAGGGAGGGAACTATTCAGATTAGATGCACAGAGGTCCCAGTCATAGCAGTGCATCAGACACAAGTGAGAGGCACTCACTTTCTGACTTGCTCTCATCCCAACACACTGACCTCCCCACCCCCCCTGCGCGTGTTCGGACAGTCTGGGGGGGCGGGGGGTTGTTATCGGCTTCCTTCGGCCTCGCCTGGACCCGAGCAGGTCAAGTGTCTTGAAGCCTGACCGGGGCCGTGCAGACCCGGGCAGCTCCCTTCAGCTCGAAGAGGGGAAGCACAGATCTGTAACGAGATTCTCGGTCTGCCATTCCTGAAGGTTTACACTTGTTAAATATAGCCCAGATCTCCCAGCTAAGCAAAACCCGCTCCCGCAGTATAGCATTCATAGACATTGCATAATGCGGGGAGCTTGTTAACAGACCGTTTATTGCTTGGTCTTCCTTCACTGGAGACCGAGCTTAACAGCTGAAGGGTTAACATGACTTAAATGTCAGCGGCCTTTAAAAAGCTCCATAGGTTGAAGAGAGCCCCGTCCCTAACCCACCCCCCCCGCACCCGCGCTGACAAAGCAGTTCAGTGTCTTTTTGGATGACATGGCACTGTTTGTTGTCTTTCTGACGCGCTGACCTTCCCGGAGCTGGTGAAGAAATCGCGTGAAGGGCAGGGAGTCGCTGGCGGAGCGAGCAAACGTGGGCCGCGGCTGAAAATGAAAAATGAAAATAAATAAAAAAAAATCAGTAACAGAGCCACACCGGTATTATATGTGTATAGAACTGTTTAGTTCGCAAAAAAAGAGAAAATTGTCATGTTGTGGAAGTTTGTGTGTTTTCTTTTATTTGTATGAGAGAGAGGTTAAAGAGAAAAAAGAGAAAAAAGTTTTGGTTTACACCAAACGCGCCCTCTTCTAGGAACAACGGTGGAAAAAAAACACATCGCGATTGGACCGCGGGATAAAAAAAAGTCCCTTCACAGAGTTCACGAAGCTGTTTACCTCAGGGGGTATGGCCAAGTTTTCTTTTCCAAATGACAATATTGTTTTAAAACCCGGCTTAAAATTGTGGCCTGGTAATGATAGGGTTATTATTAATAGTAGGGTTATTATAGGGTTAGAAAATGCTGTAGTTCAGATTTGCTTCACGAGGCTTGTCCTGATGAGTTAGGAGTTTTTGTTCTGATAAAATGAAAGTTGTTGCGGTCTCTGACGACGCTTCCACAGCGCACACTCAAGGAGACCAGAAACTGGACTTTAATTGCTGTTCACTTCCCCCTCTGGTCTCTTCCAGTGTCCTGTCATTGGTGGCAAAACACGGGGATGGTTCTGTCAGATCCGGTCTTTAATCTCCACCGTCGAGCGAGTGTAATTAATGAGCGCTTCCTGTAATTACCCCATAATTATAGAGGAGAGCAGAAAGAAAGCTTCCCTTTTCCTTGGTAGGGACTCTGTAGGTCTCCTGGAGATTTTGATGGGTTGGTTTTTCTGTTCAGTGCAAAGGGGCACCTGCGGGGCCTTTTCGTTTTGGACCTTCCCGAAGCACAAGGCTGAAGGAAAAAAAGCGGCCTACCTATATTGACCCCAGTTTGAGTCACGTGACGTCTATAGCGTGGATTGGAGTTGTCCCCCGTGAGGAAAAAAGCCTTTAGACTTCTTATTTCACAATGAAAGGATTTACAGATCGAACGTACACAAAATAACAAAGCAATTCTCAGGCTGTGACAGGAGGTCACATACAGGACTGCCAGTTCAACTGAGTTCCCTCCTCCCTCTCCCAGTAGGATTGGGAACTGTTGTGATTCTAGCCGGTGTGGGAACTCTGGGATTAGATTTCTGAATTTAGGTAAAAATGTTTCTCTAATCCCAGAGTATCTGTCCCAGTGCAGTAGGAAGTGCACCTCTGTCTCTATTTCTCCCCGCTGGCAGTGGGAGCACACCCTGTCCTCTCTGGACAGCCAGGTCTGCTTGTATCTCCCAGTTTCTATGGCCAGGCTGTGGTCACTGAGCCTGTCCTCTCTGGGCAGCCAGGTCTGCCTGTGTCCAGTGTGTGTGTCCAGGCTGTGGTCACTGAGCCTGTCCTCTCTGGGCAGCCAGGTCTGCCTGTGTCCAGTGTGTGTGTCCAGGCTGTGGTCACTGAGCCTGTCCTCTCTGGGCAGCCAGGTCTGCCTGTGTTGCCCAGTTTCTATGGCCAGGCTGTGGTCACTGAGCCTGTGCTTCGTCAGGGTCTGTTGCTTCTCGCTGTTACTTATGCTGGTCAAATATAGTGTGTATGGTCTATTTAGGATTCTGTAGCATTCATGTTGTGTTTGTATTGCGAGATCCGTCTCTCTGTCTTGTAGTAAAGAAGGCTCATCTAAAGAACGCAGATGACGGGGCGGCTCACTGGGGTTTAGATAAAAGGGAAAAAGACTGCCCTCTGGACTCGTAAATGTGACCTCTCCCCGCTGTCTGCAATAACAGCTGCTGTGTTTCTATGTAACATGGGAACTATGGGTACAAAAGCTCTCACAGAGCCGTGCGCCCCGCAGGGAGACGATGTGAACAGAGATGGGACTGGGGGGAAAAAAAGACTCTAAAAGTGGCCTGGCTGATTTGTTGCCTTGTTATAAAGAGCCTGCAGGGAGCAGCAGTCTCCGAGCTCCCCTTTTCTATTTCGGTGACTCAAACTCACTGCTCCCCGCCCCGGCTCTCCCTCGATCCGCGGAGCCGTCTCGTCTTGTTATTTCCATGCTGTTGTGTAACAGCAGCCCAGAGACAAAAGCCGTGACTGTCCTTTCTCCTCATCCTCCTCCTCCCCCTTTTCATTTAGTCTTCACTGGCAATATCCTTCTCCATTGCCTCCTTACTCGGTCGGTCTGGGCTTCTGTGTGTTTGCCCCTCACCCAGAGACTCCACCGCGCGGTTGCCATTAGTGACTAAAAACCGAGGAGCATGCTGGGATAGAATGACATAGCAATTTATTGAAAGTTGGTAAATTAACTAGTAAGTTAGTTTGAGTTATTGGAGTTAGTAAGCAGTGGCCCTGTCGCCCCCTCTGTAATGTTTTCGGCTTAGTGTAACGAGCACACAGTGTATGTGAGGTCCCCTTCAGGCGTTCTTTAGAAGCCTGATGGGGCATTTCAGAGTCACAAGCAGGCTGACTTTTGCCATTTTCTGCACATACTAGTTCACC